ATTTCGGCTCACTGCAACCTCTGCCTCTCGGGTTCAAGCGATTCTCCTGCCTCGGCCTCTCGACTAGCTGGGATGACAGGCGCCTGCCACCACACCCAGCTAATTTTTGTATTTTTAGTAGAGACGGGGTTTCACCATGTTGGTCAGGCTGGTCTCGAACTCCTGACCTTAGGTGATTCACCCGCCCTGGCCTCCCAAAGTGCTGAGATTACAGGTGTGAGCCACTGTGCCTGGCTGCAGCATCCTCTTTTAAAGCCTCTCCCCAAGTCTCTCTCTCTCCCATAGCTTGGGTCTCCAAGTCTTCCACAAAGCCTTGGCAACCTGGCAATTCCGTTTCCATTCTTTTGTTTTTTTCTTAAAAAAAAATCTTTTTGCCTCCTTTGTGTGTCAATCTCCCCATGAGACTGTGTCTTCCCATTTCCCTATGTCTTCCCCATGTCTGTTACCCAATGACTGTGGTTTCTCATTTTTTTCTCTCCCTGAGTCTCGGTATCTTCCCGTGTCTTTCCCGTCGTTTCCCTCCACTTCCCCTGTCTCTGTTCATCTCCCCTGCTTTCTGAATCTCTCGTCTCCCCCATGGCACTCTCTCCTGAGTCTCTTGGTCTCCCAGTTTCTTGGATGGGGTGGAGGGCAGGAGAGTGGAGGAGGTAGAATTGTTGCTGGGGGCTCATTAGGTGGAGATTGGTTTTTAATCAGCACCATGGCAATGATGATGCAAGAACTGAGATGCCACCTGATCCCCTGCCCCCCAGCCCCCCTCCTCAAGCCTCCTTTCCCCTCCAGCTCAGCCCATCTGCTGGCGCCTGGGCACCTGTCTGGGCCTGCCCAGGTGGGAGTTGGCACCTCCCAGACTCAGGGGTGGGGGCAGGTGGGGGAGCTTGGGGAGGAATTATGGGACTCCCCTTAGGGAATGCTTCACCCTGGAGAAAGCCCAGAAAATGTTGACCAGCAACAGAGAAATGGCAAGTTCCTCCAGCCTGAAGGTGGGATGTGCTCCTACTAAGCTCTAGGCCCACTACACATATTATCTCCCTTAATTTCCATGGCAACCTAAGAAGCAGCTATAATCAACCCCATTTTACAGAAAAAGAGGTCAAGGCTCAAAAGATTGTTATTTGTCCAAGGTCACACAGCTGACAGAGCCTTTTTCACTATACCACACTACCTCTCCAGCCATGGTTCTTTTCAATACTCGCAAAGGTTCAGTGAAAACATCGAACAGCTGAGTAGGGAGAGAACTTCAGATACTGAAACCCTCTGTGCACTCTCTATGTACCCTGGTCCCTGTGCTGCCCCTCCTCAATCCTGCCACTCGGCAACATACACACACACACTCTCACACTTACATTCACACTCAAACTCACACACACTTGCATATACATGCTGGAGGCTACTGAGCTATTGATGGGAACTTAATCAGTGGCCATTTGCATATAATTTTGTATCTGGTTTTCTTATTGCTGATTTGATGCCCTCAAAACACACTCAGAGCCTGCCTAGGCTGCCCTGCCCTCCTCTCCCAGTATCCTTCCAATCCTGGTTCTTCCTGTCTTGGCACTCCTCCACTCCTCTCCTTTTAGCCCTTACCTCTTTCTTCCTAAGAGCCATCTAATTCCCAGTGGTTCAGGTTGGGCTGGCCAGCCTAGAAAAAATCCCTGTGGGATCTGTGTCCCAAATTTGATCCTGCTCCTCCCCTTGGTGATGGGTTAGGTAGGAAGATAGGGGATGGGGTAAGGAGGGTGTGGGGGTGATTGAGTCCCAGGATGATGAGGGTAGGGGCTGGAACAGTTGCTACAGGCAGCCTGGCAAACAGTGGGTACCAGTTTTATGAAGGATAAAAACTTGAGGGCCAGGACCCTAGGGTCCTCTTCTGCATTGTAGTGCTGTCCACTTGCTGTTTTCTCGGTTTCCCTGTTAGTACCTTGAAGAGTCTTCCTCTCAGGAAAAAGGAGACACCAGGAAAGGGCTGTCCAAGTCACGCTGGGACTCAGAATGAGGCCATGGCACTTAACCATAGCTTGCTGGGAGCCTCTGCCCTGCTGCCTCTGATGTGGGAGACTGAGGGGGTTCATCTGTGGTCCTGCCCTGGCTCTCGCCCCAGCCCCACCCCTTCCCCAGCTCTCCATTTCTTGCTTATGAAATATGCATGGAGAACAGATGTCCCTGCTCCCCCACTCCCCGCCCCCCCCAGGGCCAGCCCCCGCCCCCAGCTCCCGGGGGGTTCCCAGATCCCTCTGCCAATGGCTGCCTGGCCTGGCTGTTTAATATTGATGAAGGGGGGTGGGCCTGGGCCAGCCAATGGAGAGCTGGGGGTGTGTGTGTGTATCTTCATATATATACATAGGGCTGGGCCAGCTCAGGTGTGTATGTGTCTGAGGGTGTGTGTGTGAGTGTGGCTGGCCCCAGTACATTGCCAAGCCTACCACCTCCACCTGGGCCCTACACCGCCACAATGTGTACCCCTCTTATCTGCCCTGGAGCCTGTACAGCCATGCCACGCTGCCCCTGAGAGTCTAGAAAGCTGGTCACTAACTTTGCAGACGGATGAGCCCTGAGCACCCAGAGGAGACTGGGGCTGTCAGCGCTGCCCCTTGTGCTGCCGGCTTGGATCCCCTGACAGGGTCCTTCTAGGTAAAGGGGAAACTACGGGTGGGGAGGGATGGGCGTGTCCCTCCCATTCTCTGGCTCAAGCCCCTTCCTAGAGCCTCCCTCTAGTTCTCTCTCTCATGCGCTGTGTCTCTCTCTGTCTCCGAATGCCCCTCTTCTCCACTCCTCCCCTTCGACTCTTTGTGCCTATCTATCCTCAGTCGGGTTAGGGCTGGCAGAAGTCGGGTGGGAAGTCCTGTCCTGGAGGCTTGGAATTGCTGCTCGCCTGATCCTTGGACCCTGGAACTTTGAGACCAGAAGTGGATTTGGGGGTGAGGATTTGATGGGTAAATAGAAGCTGCTGCCGGGACTGGAACTGGGGAGGACAGTGGGGCCAGGTGGAGATGAGACTGGGGCCAGATGGGGAGCACAGAGAGGGGAAGGAAGGGCATGGCGAAATGATGAGGGATGAAGGAACATAGGGACCAGGCAGAGAGAATTAGCCTGTGATAGATGTGATAAATGTGTTGGGAACCCCACAGCTGAACTCCTGCTCCCAACTCCAGCATGGGGGTGGGGAGTTGGGGACACTAAACATGTACTGGGAGGTGCTGACTTTGGGGTCTCCCACACCATTGCCATCCCCCCATAGTTCATTTGAACCCCAGAACATGGAATGTGTTCTCAATTTCAGCACTAACCACCTTCTGTTTCCTGTTAAGATTGTGTGTGTACTTGTCATCAGATGTGGATGACTTTGCATCCCTCCAGAGCTTCATAGCTGTTTGTTGGCTTGATTTGAACCTATCTTCTGTGTGATGGGGTGGGGCAAGGCTTGGGAGGATCCTAACCCCTGTGAGAGTATCTATCAGGCAGGAAAGCCAGGGCGGGGAAAGAAGGGGAGATAGTGACGGTGCAGGCACCTTGGGGCTTCTGTTTCTAATCATTCTTAGTTGAGCTGATGGTGAGTGGCCCACTGTTCCCTTTAACACTGCAACAAGCAAAGCCCTTTCCCCAGCTTTTCGAATGCCATGTTTGTGCTGCCCTGCCCTGATCTCCTCTGGTCCTAGGACAAACAAACCTTAGCTGAGTCCCATAAGGGTAGCTCCAAAAATCTGTCTGTGTCCTCCTCTGCAGGCCATGTCTGAACCTACCCTGGGCTATGGGAGAGTATGAGGGTAGAAGGTTGATTATGTTCCCTTTCCCCAGTCTTCCTTGCAGAGCCTCCAAAAGGGCCAGGGAATGGCAAGGGCTGAAAATTTCAAGGGCAGAGGTGGAGGAAGGGGCTGGTTGTGCATAGGCGGGTGGTGGTGAGAAGAGATATCTTCCCCTGGTTTTAGTGGACAGGATCTGACATCCACAATGGTTCGGCTGGAGAGGTTTGGGGAACTGGGAAGGGAGCTGTGCAGAGCTGGGGCAGCTGTGCAGAGCTCCATATGTCCTAGTCTACTCTACAATGGGCAATCTGTGTGTTTATCCGTTCCTCCACCCCAGGCAGCAAGGGTGGAGAGGGGCCCTGAGAGGGAGGGGACCACAGGACCAAGGCTTGTATTCTCCCCTCACAACTGGGAAGCATCTAGAGTCATAGCTAACTTCTCTTGGAGCTGTGGCTGCGGCCTTGCTCAGATTTTTTCCTCCTTTTATTTATTCATTTAGGTAAAAAACAACATAAAATTTATAATAACCGTTTTTAAGTGTACAATTCAGTAGTGTTCAGTATATTCACATTGTTGTGAAACAGATATCTAGCACTTTTTCATCCTGCAAATGTATAATTCTATACTCACTAAACAACAACTCCCCTTTACCCACTCCCTCAGTCCCTGGCAACTGCCATTCTACTTTCCGTTTCTATGAATTAGACTACCTTAAATACCTCATTTAAGTGGAGCTATACAGTATTTGTGTTGTTACTGGTTTATTTCACTTATCATCATATCCTTAAGGTTCATTCATGCTGTAGTGTGTGACAGAACTTCCTTTTTAGGGCTGCATAATATTCCAATGTATGTATATACTACATTTTGTTTCTCTGTTGTCTATTGATGGACATTTGGCTTGCTTCTACCTCTTGGCTATTGTGAATAGTGCTGCTATGAACATGAGTGTGCAAATATCTCTTTGGCTTGTATATATACCCAGAGGTAGGATTCCTGGAGCATATGGTAGTTCTATTTTTTTATTTTTTGAGGAACATTTATACTGTTTTCCATAGTGGTTGCATCATTTTGCAGTCCCAACAAGGCATAAGGGTTCTGATTTCTCCATATCCTCGCCAAGACTTATTTTTTGTTTGTTTGGTTTTTGTTTTTATAGTAGCCATCCTAATGGGTATGAAGTGATATTTCATAGTGGTTTTGATTAGCATTTTAATGATTAGTGATGTTGAACATTTTTTCATATGCTTGTTGGCCATTTGTATAACATCTTTGGAGAATGTGTATTCTAATCTTTTGCTCATTTTTTTTCTTTAAAAAATTTTTATTTACATAAATTTATTGGGTACAAGTGCAATTTTGTTACACGCACAGATTGCATAATGGTCAAGTCAGGGCTCTTAGGATGTCCATCACCTGAATAACATACATGGTACCCATTCTGTAATTTCTCATTTCACCCCCCTCCCAACCCCTCTTTTGCCCATTTTTAAATTGGGTTATTTTATTTTATTTTTTTGTTATTGAGTTGTAGGATTTATTTGTATGTTCTAGATATTAACCGCTTATCAGATATATAATTTGCAAATATTTTCTCCCATTCCATAGATTGCTGTTTTACTCTGTTGATTATGTTCTTCAATAAATTAAAGTCTGATGTGGTCCCATTTTTTCTATTTTTGCTTTTGGTGTCACATCCAAGAAATCACTGCTGAGTCCAACGTCATGAAGGTCTCTCCCTGTTTTCTTCTAGGAGTTTTATGGTTTTAGATCTTCAATCCTCTTGCTCAGTTTTAACCTGCCTGGTGTATCCTTCTCATCACTTCTGCTCCTTTCCTGTTACTCGTTTTCTCTTCCCTTCTTATTACCTTTCCTCCTCCTCTTCCTTTCACCCTGTCCACCTGCCTCTCTGTCTCTCAGCCTCTCCCCACCCCGACCCACACTCGTTTCTGCTGTTCTTCCCTCACACTCGCAGTTCCTTACCCCTCCCAGCCCACCTCAAACCTGCTTTCCTACCTCTGAGCTGAGCACTCCCTCCTCCCTCTGCTGCTACCACTTCTCTCTTCTCTTTTTCAGGCTTCAGACTAGAACCATGACCATGGAACCCTGAAGTGGCAGTGACTTCTAGAGCTCAGTGGCAGACCCGACGACCCCAGGCCCTTCCTCCCCCTCCCACCACCAGCTTTCAAGCTCCCAGAGGGAGGGGTGGGGAGGGGATCCTGATCTCACAGGGCAGGGGGCTTCCATCATGATGCTCAACTCAGACACCATGGAGCTGGACCTGCCACCCAACCACTCAGAGACTGAGTCGGGCTTCAGTGACTGTGGGGGCGGGGCGGGCCCTGATGGTGCTGGGCCTGGGGGTCCGGGAGGGGGCCAGGCCCGAGGCCCAGAGCCGGGAGAGCCTGGTCGGAAAGACATGCAGCATCTGAGCCGCGAGGAGCGCCGGCGCCGGCGCCGCGCCACAGCCAAGTACCGCACGGCCCATGCCACGCGAGAGCGCATCCGCGTGGAAGCCTTCAACCTGGCCTTCGCCGAGCTGCGCAAGCTGCTGCCCACGCTGCCTCCCGACAAGAAGCTCTCCAAGATTGAGATCCTGCGCCTGGCCATCTGCTATATCTCCTACCTGAACCACGTGCTGGACGTCTGAACTCGGCCTGTTTCCCACCTCCCGGACTTCTCTGGGGCCCCTTTCCACCGCTCACTGCTTAGAATGGCCGCATCCTCCCCGAGCCCTTAAACCTTGGCATGGAGTCCCAAAGGCCCTGGGCCCAGGCAGAGAGCCCACTGGCTGGTCATGAGGGCATCTTTCTTTCACTGACCCAGGCACCTCGAGGGCTTTTCTCCTGGGTTCCTCCCGGGGTTTACTGCTGAGGCCCAGCTGTGCAGAATTGTTTGCTAGTGTGGTTGGTATGGAATCCTTGCTAGCTTTACTAAGCCAGCCGCACTTGGAGTCTGCCCCCAAGCTCTCTCACGGCATGCTGCCTCTTCTACCCCTATGTCCAAATTTTCAGCGACTACAGACCCCAGCTCTGTATCCTATCTGTTGTAGCTTCTCCTGCCCATGGTGGGGATGGGCTGTCAGAACTGCAAGGGAGGAAGACTGGGATTAGAGTGGGAGTGGGCTTCTTCCTTCAAGATCTCAGTCTCTCAGTGCTTGGCAGAGGGGCGGGGCCCTGGGGAGGCAGGGGTTGGTGCCCTGACTCCTGTGAGGGGAATCTCAGTAGCTGGGAATTATGGAAAAACTCTTCCTATTTCTGCCCATCTCGTTCCTGTGGCTTAGCACATACAGACCTCAGATCTTACTTGGTAGTGAGTGCCTTGCCCTCTCCGAGCTATTTGGCCACTTCCCTGCCCCTCTGACTCCTACTGTCCCAATTTTCTCCCTCCCTGTGTGTCACTAGAGAAAAAAAAAAAACAAACACCTAGATCCCAGATTAGGGGATGACATCCCAAACAGCCCGGAGTATTTGCAGGAGGCTCAGGCAACGAGTGGGCCACATCTCACTTCTGCTTCCTCCATCTCAACCCACCCTGAAAATGTGCAGCACCCTCACTGGTTCCTCCCCCTCACAAAGAGAGTGCCCGATTGTTGCCCTCTGGGAGTGCTCGGTTCTCCTGGCCCTAGGACCTACTTATTAAATTTTTTTTTTTTTCCTTGATCTGCTTTTGGCAAGGGAAAAGACCCCCAACTCTGTGTCCCTACTCCATGTTGCTGATCCCCACCTGCACACTATAACCCAGGGTCAGCAGTAGAATGAAGGGCCTTAGAACCTGCACAGAAGAAATGAACTCACTGCATTTCTGTGTTCCCTTCTCCCTCGCAACAAACTCCTAGCTCTACAAGTATATTTATTTATTCATCTATTTATTTATTATTTATTTATTTATTTATTTATAAATATTGCTATTTATTGCCGAGTTGTGCACTTTGGGATAGAGTGAGGGGCTCCCAGCAGCTCTAGCTGGGTCTTTCTTGCTTCCTCCCTGTTACTCCTCTCCTTTTCTTGCTCCTTCTTCAACTCTTGGTGTGTGTGAGCATGCCCTTTGCTCGCCACACCATATCCTTTCCCCAGATCCACCTGTCCTGACACTCTAGTCCTCCAGGATAGTGCTCCTCCCCCAGCTTCGGGGCTCCTGGATGTCCTTCCTCAACACCCTCCGCCCCTAGGCAGTCCCACCCGGTCCCGTCTGCCTATTTTCTCTCCCCAGCCTGCCCTGTGACCCTTGCTTCTTCCTGATACTCCCAAGAGCAGGCCCCAGGGGTCTGTGTCTTATATCTGTGTGTGATTCCTTCTGGTTGCATTCCCAATTTCATACAAAAGGAAAAATAAAAGTGACCTCGTTCTAGCACCAGGTATGGTTGTGGTTCATTCAGTTGGGTTAGGAAACTGGCCTGCAGGTTATGGTAGGGTGGGCATTAAGGGTCCTAGGCTTCGTAGGCTCTTCTGATGAGGTCAGAGAGCTCAGTTTGGGGAATAAATGAAGACAGAGAGAAGGGGCCACAGGGAAAAGAGGCTCAGGGGAGAGTATAACATACAGATCCAAGATTGCCCCACCAAAATCTGGGTGCCAGATACTCCCTTCTTGGTACTTATTTAGTGACACTATCTGACTTCTCTGATGTTGTGCTTCTGCTCCTGCTCTCTACAGCCTGAGAAAGAGGTGAATATTCCAGTGGAACCTAAGTTAAACATGTGTCTGTGGGTCCGTGCTGCTGGGAAAAGCTATGGTATGAAACTGAGACATTGCCTTCCCCTTTATTGTCTCTAGGCTGGGTCAAAATTCCCTGCAATCTCAGTTCTTGGCCTATTTTGTGTTCCCCAGCCTTAGGATACTGGGGAAAACAGACGGCAGGCCTGGGACTCACAGAGGAGTATGGACAGGGATTAAAAAAAAAAAGAGTGCTGAAGGAACCCTCAATGAATTTATAGATGGGAACACTCAAGCTCAGAGAAGGTCAGGGTCTTACCCAAGGTCACACAGCTAATTGGGAGCACAACTAAGGCCCAAATCCAGGTTCTTTGTACCATATGCTGCCAATTCCCCTCTGCCTCCTTAAAATGACCCAGCCTGACAGCCCTCTTTTGGACCCCATATTTTCATACGTGCATTTATAAACTAGAGAGGATTTAGGGTTGTGTGGCGAAGAAACCAAAAGGTCTGGAGACCACTTTATAGAAAGAACAGTTGAAAAACTGAGGATATGTGTCTTGATCAGAGTAGACTTGGGGATAATATGACACCCACTTTTAAATATTGAAAAAAGAATCAAAAATGGATATTCTGTGGGGCCCCAGGAGGCAGAACAAAACCAGTGAGTAGAAGTTAGAGGAAAGTGGATTTTAATTGGAAGAAAAATTTTGCAATACCTGGAGCTGTCCAGCAATGACAGTGACTGCCTCAAGAGGAGAACTCCAATAGAGAAGCTGGAGTTGAAGCGTGTGGTTGATACCACACGCAAAGAAATCATAGAGCACATTCCTGCCTCTGAGGGAAGACTGGCTAGGGTCATGAGAAGATCCTTTCCAAACTTAAGGTCATACGAGAAGGCTGAAGGCAAACAGCAGGAGGGAAATGCAGAGACACCTTCCAGTCCCTGAAGGGTTTTCTTTTTCTTTTTTTTCTTTTTTTTTTTTTTTTTAATCGTGTTGAGACAGTGTCTTGCTTTGTTGCCCAGGCTGGAGTGCAGTGGCAGGATCTTAGTCCACTGCAACCTCCACCTCCCGATTCAAGCCATTTTCGCAGCTCAGCCTCCTGAGTAGCTGGGACTACAGCTGCCTGCTGCCATGCCTGGCTAATTTTTGTGTCTTCAATAGAGATGGAGTTTCACCATGTTGGTCAGGCTGATCTCAAACCCCTGACCTGAAGTGATCCTCCTGCTTTGGCCTCCTAAAATGCTGGGATTACAGGCATGAGCCACCGTGCCCAGCTATGGATTTTCATCTTTTTTTTTTCTTTTTTTTTTTTTGAGGCGGAGTCTCGCTCTGTCGCCCAGGCTGGAGTGCAGTGGCCGGATCTCAGCTCACTGCAAGCTCCACCTCCCGGGTTCCCGCCATTCTCCTGCCTCAGCCTCCCAAGTAGCTGGGACTACAGGCACCCGCCACCTCGCCCGGCTAGATTTTTGTATTTTTTAGTAGAGAAGGGGTTTCACCATGTTAGCCAGGATGGTCTTGATCTCCTGACCTCGTGATCCACCCGTCTCGGCCTCCCAAAGTGCTGGGATTACAGGCTTGAGCCACCGCTCTCGGCCAAGGATTTTCATCTTTGATGAACAAAGAATGACATAAACAGCACGAGGGGCTTAAGTTAGACTTACAGAGGAGCTTCCATACAGGAGGACTTGACATCTTCCCCTTCCTATGTGAGTTAAACGACGTGCTCTGCCCAGAGCCTGACAAAAGGGAGGGCTGAACTGAGATCAGGGAGAACTTTAGGACTCCAAAGGGCCGGAGTTGGGTGGGAACACAGAAATCAGTGAATCCAACAACTTTATTTCAAAGGCAGGTAAACTACTGTCCGGACAGGGGACATAACTCACCCATGATGATGGCCTGGGATTAGAAGCCAAGTCTTCCATTCCTGGCCCTGAGAGCTTTATGCTTCTCTGTGCTCAGCAGCCACAGTCCTCTGGGCTCCCTGCCTCCCTCTCTTGTCTCTTTGCCTGGGCTGGAGAGCAGAAGAGGTTAGGGGGCCCCTCCCCTCAGGCATCCCTGAGGGCCTGGGGATGGTGAGAGGGGGAAGCTGCAGCTGTTCTACTGCTAGCTCCAAATTTCTTCAGATAATCAATTGGCCTCGCTGCCGCTCTTCTTGCTCTTCTCGCTCTGGGCAGGACAGGAGAAGGAGGTGGAGAGTGGGAGGAGGAGGGAGCAGGGGACCAGGCACTGGGGGAGGAGGGAGAGGGCAGGGAGCTGGAAGTCCCTGGGCTGAGGGGAAAGTGAAAGCTTTGGGGCTAGCAGACAGGGAGGATGGAGAAAAGGGATTGTTAGAAGAGGATCTGCTCTACATCCCTCATTCCACATCCCTCTAAACCCAACTAGTGGGTGGGAGGGTGGGGGAGGGGCAGCTTGAGGGACCCCAGAATGGGACTCTTGCACTTCACCCCTGCTTTCCTCCTCTATCCCCTTGCCAAGTATCTCATGCATGGCCATAGCTCCCCCAGCTGTCCATGCCCTCTTCCAGCTCTAGTGACCACAGATGCCTGACCCTCCAGTCGTGTCTTCATCAATGCCCCCCTCTGTCCTGTAACTCAGCAAACCCCACCACCAGTGACAGAGCAGAAGGCAAGGCCCCAGGGGCTTGGGGGGATGCCTAAAATACCACACACACACACACACACACACACACACACACACACACAGAGTCATAGGCTGCCAGGCATATGGCTTCTTTGTGCCCACACAATGGAGGCCCTGTCTGTGCCCTTTCCCAAGTCTGGGCACAGTGTGAAGAGTGCTCCGCTCCCTCATTCCACCTACCTCCCTTCCCTCTCCACCCCCTGTGCAGGTCCTGCCTTTTTTGTCTTTGCTTCTTCGTCTATCTGGAAAGCCCTTTCTACCACCCAGTTCCTTTATCTTTCTGCTTTTTTCTTGTGTTCTTTCCTGAGCTTTTGACCTTTCATTGGATGAGGATTATGGGCAGAAGAAAGAGGCTCACAGTGCTGGGATGTCAGCGAAGGGAGGAGAAGGGAGCAAACAGAGATGAGCCTGAAAGGCTGAGAGGGAATGGAAGAAGGAAGGCAGTGGTGGCAGCTCAGCCACACTGTGCTAGAGGGGAGAAAACCCACACCCAGGCAGCCAGAGGACCCATGCCCCTGCTCTGTCTCCACTCTCCCCTTTGTGCCACAGTGAGCAAACTGCAGGCCTTCCCTGAGTGACAGCTTTTTCATATGGAAAGCAGAAAGACAACAAGACCCACTGGGGTGTGATGCGGATTAAATGAGATCATCATGAAAGTGTTCAGCATCCTAAAAGCTCATCAGATGCTATCTCAGGGGCAGTAAGTAGCAGGGTCAACTGTACTTTTACACAGTTTGTGCACCGTTAGAAAGCACCAGGCTAAGGGCAGTGTGGGGGCCTGACTCCCAACCCCCCCTCTACTAAACCAGCTGTGTACCAGGATGCAAGCATTCCCCGAGAGGTGGCCCTGGAACTGAGCCCCTCATGTGGGTTCCTGAGCATTGGTCGGGAGTCCAGATGAAAACTCCGGAGTCCTGATCACCTTGGGAACCAAGACAGGATGGAAAGGGACAAGAGGCTATGGGGGATGCCTCTCCCTGAGGGGGAAATTCCTGAGCTCAGTCTTCTCTGAACAGACAGACAATCTATGAGATCTACTAAACGAAGGATGGAGAAACTGCAGCTGAGGAGAAGAAGGGGGCTGCAGAAGCAGGAAAAAAAATGGGAGACGTGGGTCGAGGGTGTGATCAGAGCAATGTGTTGGTCTGAGGACCTTTCTCTGGTTCCCTCCTCCTCCATTCCCTCCCTTTAGCAAGTTGAAGGCTGATTTGATTATTTCTTGTTGAACACTGCTCCCTGCTGGCTACTAGCAGAAACGTTTTCCCTCTTCCCTATTCCCAGCTAGGAGCTGCTGAGAGTCTGAAAAAGAGAAGAAATGACCCGACTGAGGACAAAGCACGAAGGAATTGCAATTCTGCAATCTGGAATTTTCTACTTGTCAGAGATTTCTGGAAGGTGAAGGAGGCTTGAGGGCTGACTGGGAGTAAATAGAGTTTAGAATCCACAGGTGGTTCATTTAGCTATGTTATGACCTATAATTTTCAGATTGATTTTTTTCTGGTCTGTGCCTGTTTCATTTATTGTGCGTCTGTGTTATGTGCGTGTTCTGTATCTGGGTATGCTTACCTAATTCTGTAGTTTTTGAACACGTCTATGTCTGTGTACTTTATGTGTGTGTGCTCTTTTTAATGTAGGAATCTGAGTGACAGCTGTCAGGTATGGAGCAAGGACAGGAAGCTGTCTAATTTCCTCTTTCCTAGAAGCCTGTTCTCTGCTTGAAGTTTTGCCTTTGTCTCCCAGATCCATGAGCTATAACCTATAGCCATAGGTCACAGGTTTTATTCTGGCTCCTGCCCCTCTTTGGACATCCCAAGCTCAGAGCCTTGATTTGCTCTAACCTGAGACTCTTGGACCTCCCAAGCAGGGCCTCCAGTGTGGTTCCCAAGTGAGAATCTCTACTGTCTACTTCCCTTTTATCCTTTCTGGCATTAAACTCCAGCCTCCTTCTTTCATAAGCTTGTAGCTACCTCTTTCATTGGTTGATTCCAATTTATTCAGTGCGACATGCATTTATGGACTAGCCAATGTATATCAGGCACTGTTCTGGATTCTGAAATA